CATAATCCTTTGCTGAAGAATCAAGATGGCGATCTACATAAATTGATGAAAAATTGAATATCTAGAGAATGAGAAGTGATATAAAAAACTGTAAATTGCATGTCCTTACATTTGCCGAGCTCTTCCATCGAGGAGTATTATGTTGTTAGCCTTGACTTTCACTTTAAAGCGGGAGGGTCGTCACCTGCGCATGCGCGGTAATTGATTCCTAAGCGACGATAACGACACACGCTAAAAACGCAAAGGTTCATGGGTAGACGCTTGTTTGTAAACAATGGAACGCTATGGCCATATGAGCATGCGCAGGTGACTACTCCCGCTTTAAGCAAATTTTAGTTTACGATAAATCATAAATTAGAAACATGTAGTATTAAACAAATAGTGAAAGTTACGTAATGTATCTTTGAAAAAAAAAATGACTAACTTCGTTCACACTTGCAATACCGACAACATCTGTTACACCGTCACCGTCACACCAATTACTGTTGACGTTTCTATTTCGTTTCTAGAAATGTCAAAAATATCATAATAGCATAAATAACAAAAATGGCAACACATCATTTGTATTAATTTGGACAGCGGGAACAATAAAAAAAATAAAGTTCGTATCTTGTAACTTGTTTTGTTCGTTATAAATACAGTAGTCTTTTAAACACCAGTGGTTACCATAGCATGAATTCTAGATGAAAGCAAACGAAACTTAACATGAGGGGAGGCAAGGGGGTAGCTGGTACAGTTTTACGGGAAATAAAAAAGGCTTTTTACAATTTACAAGGAGGAAAAAAATACGTTTTTACAGTTTACAGTGTTAAAAAATGGAACATTGAATGGTTCGAAGAGCTCTCAATTGCTGCGTGTGTAGAGACGCATGCGCATACTACCCTCGTAATGCTCTTCATTCGGTTAGAGGGCCTTTTACGTCTTGACATTTTGTTGTGAATTGTGTCATGTAGTCGTTTTACAGTTTTTAAAATGTAATTTCCCTGGATTATTCTTTACGATTCTTTTATTTCGATGTAAATTCTTGTACGTACCGAGAAAATGACACATTTTTACAGTGTACGAAAAAAATATTAAATTGATTACGCTGTACGTCTAGCCTGTGATTACAGAATTACGGAATTTATTTTTTCAATTTACGTTGTACGAACCAAAAAATATTGCAATTACGTTGAACGAAAATAACCCTTGCCCCCCCCCAACATGTAACGAAGTAGCGCCAATAAAACCTCTGTTTGTATGAAACTGACTACGACACTTTGGTGAACTTTGTGTAACATCGTTCTATAAGGCTTGCAATAAACCCTTACACCTTAAATAAAGTAGTATGAGCTCTCCACAGAGTACAATAATCGACATTCGGTGAGTCGCACAATCGCGACGCAGTTGGTTTTTAGACCCCATACAAACCTTACTTTAGTTAAACGCAACTGGGTTCGAAAATCAATGTCAGGCTGTCGTCGCTAGTAATAATCTCCTTTACCAAAAAGACGCGGTGTAATTTCTTGCAATCAGTCGTTTTTATAGACAGGGTATATCGAAGCAAGTACCCAGCCCAACCCCCTTACATACCTCACTATGTTTTACGCCACTTAGTGCGTTCGAAAATTAATGTCAGGCTGTCGTCGCCAGTAGTAATCTCCTTACGTGAAAGACGCGATGTGATTTCTTGCAGTCAGTCGTTATATTGAAGCAATATTGAAGCAAGTATCCAACCCAGTAGAAATGGACGCTTAGTCGATTACATCATCAAAAGACATTGTATGACCCGAACTCGGGTAATCTCTGTCTGCTTACGTTCTTAGTCTACGAAGAAACGCACACAGCAGAATAACTAAGATTGTGCACCCCCTGTTGATGAGGTCGGATTTCCTCTGTCTGCTTACGTTCTTAGTCTACGAAGAAACGCACACAGCAGAATTACTAAGATTGTGCCCCCCCCCCCCTGTTGATGAGGTCGGATTTTCTCTGTCTGCTTACGTTCTTAGTCTACGAAGAAACGCACACAGCAGAATAACTAAGATTTTGCACCCCCCTGTTGATGAGGTCGGATTTCCAGCACTGTATGGTCGGGAAATATCCCGGAATTCCAACTGTATATGGAGAAACAGAATCTAGAAATCCAGATGAGTATGGAAAAAAAATCCTGTAAATCCAGGCAGTTATGGCTACTAAATAAAATATGGCCTAGTTTATCTCGCCACATACCGATTGATGAGGTTGGATTACCAACAGTATGATTAAAAAAATTCTGACTGTAAATGGTAAAAAAATTGGGCCAGTATGAAATAGTTACATGTATTCAAGTTACTGAAATTAGATAAGGATGGTGGCACGAATGAGCTCATCAACACCGTGAATCAGGACTAGTTTGGATTTCCATTATCAAATATAAAATTTTGAACTTGGTAAATTAGCATACATGTATGATGAGTTATATTTGGAAATCCTACTCTGTATGGTGGCACAAAGGAACTCATGAACACCATACGTAAGAACTATAGTTTTGGATTTCCATCACTGTATGGTGAATGGTGATTTGGAAATAAAACTTTGTATGACTCATACACCCATGGAAATTATACCCTGTATGAAGTAAACACACAAGCTCATCAACAGGGGGTGCAGATATAAACTGGAATGGCCCAATGGCGCTCTTAAATTTGTCAGTTGTTTTTCATCATGGATTATTTTGATTCTAAATACTAGCTCGTCAAATTTCATTCAAGTTTGGTGTTTTGTTTTTATTCGTACGTCCTGTATATATGTTCTTAGTCGTTTTGTTGAACCCTTATTTTAACTATATAATAGAACTGGAACAAACGCAAACATATCATGTGTCGACAAAGGGGATACTGTAAGTTGAAAAGGTATACATGTTATGTACGCAGTATATAAATACACTAGCATTCTAGACGCAGTCATGGTGCAATTGACTCATGATACATTTTATTATGGTGGACATTTCATTTCTGGAATGTATAAGCTTATAAACTGCCACGCACTCATATTCTCTCAAAATAACAGACAACTTTAAATGGTTTGTATATCACGAAAAAACATTGTGCATGTGATATTAATAGAAAGATTATTTAGAAAAAAACACAATAAATATTAAGTTAAACTGTCCTTACAGTTCTTAGATGTCATTTTAAATATATTGTAATTAATATATTTTGTCATATGTTCTGATGAATGATCTATTAATATCTTGGAACCATGTGACGGTCCAAGTCGACACACAGGTTTCTCACTAAAGTACAAAACACGTGTTAAGGAAAACATATAAAAAAATTATCAATTTCTGTCGCTGTGATTATATACAGATTACATTTAATAACAAATACAGAAAATCAATATTTACAGGCTGTGATGGAATATTTTTTTCATAAACAACAACATCAGAGGCAACATCATTTTTTCGTCACAATGCCCTATCATTGCTCCGTAAATAGCGTCGTCGGACCCTGGAGTATAGATAATATCCTATATCCCAGAGAAATTCCAAGAATTCAACAATTGTTATGAGAGAGAGGCCTATATAGAGCCCCAAGGACCCACCAATATCACCAATCAGATTTTCGATCTGAAACAAACAAATTAAATACATTTCAATGTCACATGGTGCAGTAGATATTTAGAACAACGACATCGAAATATTTTCACTAAAATGATGACTATTTCGTATGAGAGTTGGTGTTCCCGACGACCCAGTCAGTCATGTGCATCCTATGCGTACGTTTGTTCTCATTGTGAATCTACGTGCTGCGTTAAAAGGAATATGGGCGCAATACTAAAAGAGTTCTAGAATGACCAACATCAAAATACTTGCTATTTCTTCGGACAACACCTGTAGCTTAATACAATCCAAGTATGCCCATTGCTTCTTCATACCGAGCACTAAGCTATGGAAATTTTCTAAATCGTAGACAGCTGCCACGTCTTTGCACGAGTCATCAGCGGTAATAACAATAGTAGAGACGGGATTATGTTATTAGTGCGTATATACGCAAAGCCTTCAGTAGAATGAAGTATCCAACACTTACGTGGTATCCAGGCTTTTCTTCTATCTTTTCGTAGTTCAGTGCCTCATAGTAAATTTCAAGGCTCACCAGGTTACGTCTAAATATATACACATATTGTATTTTAAAAAAAAATAGAAAATACGTTGAACATTTGATACATACACCATGGTGAATTAATTGCCTTTATACACTGTTTATATTTATATTTTTATATCGCGCCCTCTAGCGATGGAAACACATAACGGTGACATCTGTAGCTATCGGTCAATACAGAATCGTTTAATCATTTACTATATCTATACAATAAAATTTAATTATGACGTCATATGAGCACTTCATCGCTAGGGCGAGACAGAAATCGTGTTGTTCTTGTCTACAACAGTATAAATGTGTATATTTTATTTGCCATACTATCATTTATCTTGAAATAAATATGAACAGGACTTACTGTGCAACGCTGTTGTTCTGGACGATTTTTGTCTTGTTGTTTACTGAGTGTAGCCCTTTCAGTAAACGCGACTAAAATAGAAACATAGACAGATGCTATAATATTTCATAAATATGAAACAAAATAATAAATAAATATGCCTCATTGTCATCGCACATTAATTTTGTCGAGTGTTGTATGCCGGGGCAGGCGCCCAGTTCTAGAACCTGAAACTGGCCTCAATTCAGCACCTGCATCTGAAAATAATCTGTGAAAGTTAACAAACACTGTTTTTTAGCATTAAAATAACTCGCTATCACTGTCAGTGATTGGAATGGATACAAATACTCTAAACAAATGATAAAGTGGATACATTTCTTGCAAAACGTTCTGAAGGGAGTATCCATTGTCAATTTTGGTGCGGTACTCACTTCAATTCGTGCAATCCAGGAAATCAGCCATATACATATGTCATGTTTTGTAGCGGATCCTTTGGTCTGAGAAGACTAATTAATTTGCTGTTACGCCAGTGAGACAGGTCTTGTAATGCTACCTATTCGCGGTGATGTACAGATATTTAGCCATAAGGTACGTACACTGTTGGCCAAAAGAAACAAAATGCTCTCTCCGAGTCGACAATTATGTATAGGCTTTGGCAGGTGTCAACATTTATAATACTAGTACTAACCAGATAACTGTCAGACGGCCAGTAAGATTGTGATATTGTCTTCTCATACCATACACTTCTGCATAAAATGAATATTAATTAAATATATATAATATCGAATCTTATGTTGTTGAATAATGAATAAAATCGTAAACATAAAAACAAAAATTAAATGAATAGACATGGACTTACTGACACGGTGTTTTACACTGGCACCATCGTAGGCTCTGTCTCTGAATTAAAAAATAAATCAACTGCCGACAGATTTCTGGCAACATAATTGGAAATTAAACGATTATTATTAAAAGCGCACTTGATTAATTGTTTTTTGATTATATGTATCGATGCCCAAGGCAATTGTTTCCACGGCTCAATTGCTATGATATACTAGTACAAGCTGTACTACGGTACGAGTCCCCCGTATTAAACGCTAAACTACACAAATTCATTAAATTGAAGTCCTGGCGTCATAAACCACTCACCCTGTGTTCGATTTGTAATCATGCAATTAGGCCCATCGTCCAAAAATCCATCTACGCAACCACACTCTTTTAACATGGTACGTTTGATGCACTGATGTAGACAGCGCTAGGATATAAACAAATACATAGTTTAATATATGTAATCCACCGATAGAGGGCTGCCTTCATCACACTTTGATTACGGTCGTACGCTCATGACGAGCAAAATAAAGACAATGTGATAGCACTATTTAGTTTATTGAGTAAAATGTCACATAAATGACACAAAAGTAGATATATGGACAGGGTACTCGATCTTATTTCTATAGAAACAATGGCTCGATAGTCCCCACAGCGTTAAGCTTTACTCGACTGGTCATTCAAAAGCATCATAAACTTACAGAAACCGTGTAATTCCACTCTGCACTGCTACCAAAGTCAACAGGGCCATATTCAGTGCAGTCACCGTGTGGGTGCGGCAAACGACGTATTTGTCCCTGTGAAAGTAACGATATTGATCACATCAGATCCTACTCATAACAAACATCGTGTTTTTATCAAATGGTCTATCTCTGTACTACTTATATAGAAAAATATACAAAATATAGAATAGACGGACATCAAATTACAAATAAATACCCGTAGATCTCGCGCCAAGTCGCTTTAATCCCACTGATCTAGACTGGATCAATATCCAACAGTCGTCGCCATAATGTAGCGTGAAAGTCGTACAACAGTGTTGACAGTCTGAATCAACATGGCCAGTGAAGTACGACCTCATCTTTGGCGTGTTTGAGCAATGTTATCTGTCGATTTTTTTTTTTCTGGTTTAGTATTTAAATTTGACAACTTTAACGTCCGTCCAATAAGAGATATGATATTTAGACTCATTAAAAACATTATTCGGATGTCTTCTTACATGTCTTCTTCGTAAATTTATATGTGTTTCAATTAGAATATTCAATTATTTACAGCGATCCATCCAGTCCAGCATTTTTGTTTTTGATTTTCTATTCTCGCCCGATCACATTTCCTGCCATATTTATCAAGTTCATACAACTCATGTGATTGTTTTTATAGAGCTTTGTAATAACACTGATCTTTATTACACCGAGCGTCTTTTTTCCGTTTATTGGCATGTCGCCCCCACGCATTCATAATTCCAAACTACAGGGTGCAGTTCTCGATGTTATTTGACAAACTCGTAGCATCCGTATGGTTCACACTACACTCAACGCATTGAAGGTAAACTACTTTCCTAGCTAAACACTGGAACTATTTAACACAGAAAGAATACGATGTATTTTTCATAGCATATAGTCGTTTTTATGTCGCTTACAAATCTGTTCTGTTTTGCACACAAATACACACACACACACTACTACTACAATGACTGGGTAAACTTTCACGTCCTTCCATTTTCACCTTTCGAACTGACACCGATGTGACTGTCCCCGGCCTTATTGTGAAACCATCTTCCGCAGGGAACGGCTTGGTATCAACTGGATGTAATGAAACACGGACACCGGAGTCTTGTCCAAAGAGACTGATATATTCATTCTGTTCGGTGAACAGTGTTAACTTTAGACCTGAAATTTATAATGTTTGACTAATATTTATATTCCCCATCAAAGAATCCCTTCAATCAATTAAACAATATATACAACAAGCAAATTACATGGAACCTGTCGTGAAATAACTGATTAATATGGTATATATATGGTACTACATATATCGAAGTTAACGATGAGACGCTCCCATCCTCAGTAGACTTACGCACCATTGTTAGCACCAGCTCTTGTTGAGTAGCCCAGGCTAGAGTTTCGTCCGTGGTTAAACGTGAAACAGTTACCATACTTCGTATCAGGAAAAACATAGAAATCTCTGTTTAAAAGTAAGATAAGAAGAAAATAAATAAATAGAGAAAATTAACGTCGGTAATAAGCCTCGAATCAATTAGCCCGGTTACCTTCCTGATATTTCATGGGTCAATCGGTCTTCCACATAACAGTCTGGAAATGTTGCCTACAGCATAACAACAATACTACTACTACTAATAGTAATAATACAACGATGTACTTGCCTATAAGAACAGCTTCGTTGATCAAATGAACATTGCAGTATAAAATCTTCACACTGGTGTCCAAGTAGTTCTGTCTCAGATCGAGATAATCTAATTATTTGTTGTAAATCTCCATAATCCGGAGTTGCACTAAATGCCATGAACCCATACCAGTCAGGGGGTTGTTCCCCCTTGACACGATCAAATCCAGGATCAATGTAGTAAGATTTTTCGAAATCACGAATATCATCCTCAGTCAACTGAAAATACTTTCTATACTGCAGGTACCAATCATGCGGTAATTGGACGATTCTATCAACCTTTGCCACTGGAACACCAACGAAAAAGTAGAAATAAATATACACTGCATCACTTGCACTAGCATCTACTGTACTGCCATGGGATTTGTTGTCATTGTTATAAATTAAGTCGATGTATTACTGTATTACTGCATTGCCATAAAATCTACTGTACTGCCATGAAATCCACTGTAGTGCCATGAAATCTACTGCCAGTGCCATGAAATCTTCTGTTGTGCCACGAAATCTACTGCCAGTGCCAAGAAATGTTCTGTGGTGCCATGAATCTGCTGCCGTGTCATGATAACTACTGTACGTAGTGCCATGAAATTTACTGTAGTGCCATAAAATCTACTGTAGTGCCATAAAATCTACTCCTGTGACATAAAATCTAATGTAGTGCCATAAAATCTACTGCCAGTGCCATGAAATCTTCTGTTGTGTCATGAAATCTACTGCCAGTGCCATGAAATCTACTGTAGTACCATGAAATCTACTGCCAGTGCCATGAAATTTTCTGTAGTTGTGCCATGAAATCTACTGCCAGTGCCATGAAGTCTTCTGTTGTGCCATGAAATCTACTGCCAGTGCCATGAATCTACTGCCGTGCCATGAGATATACTGCCTGTGGCATGAAATCTACTGTAGTGCAATGAATCTACTGCCAGTGCCATGCGATATACTGTAGTGCCATGAAATCTATTGCCAGTGCCATGAAATCTTCTGTTGTGCCATGAAATCTACTGCCAGTGCCATGAAATCTTCTGTTGTGCCATGAAATATATTGTAGTGCCATGAAATCTACTGCCAGTGCCATGAGATCTATTGTAGTGCCATGAGATCTATTGTAGTGCCATGAAATCTACTGCCAGTGCCATGAGATCTATTGTACGTAGTGCCATGAAATCTTTTGTACTGCCATGAAATCTACTGTTCTTCCATGAAATCTACTGTAGCACCATGAAATCTACTGTAGAGCCACGAATCTACTGCCGTGCCATGAAATTTACTGTTGTGCCATGAATCTACTGTCAGTGCCATGAGATCTACTGTAGCGCCATGAAATTTACTGTGGTGCCATGAAATCTACTGTTGTGCCATGAATCTACTGCCGTGCCATGAAATCTACTGTAGTGCCATGAATCTACTGTAGTGCCATAACATTTTCTGTGGTGCCATGAAATCTACTGTATGTCATGAAATCTACTATAGTGCCAAGAAATTTACTGTAGTTTCATGAATTCTTCTGTCGTGTCAGGAGATTTAATGTAGTGCCATGGAATCTACTGTGGTGCCATGATATATACTGTAGTGCTATGTAATTCACTGTGGTGTCATAGAATCTACCGTAGAACCATAATGTCTACTGTAGCGCCATGATAGATATTGCAGTGCCATGAAATCTACTGTAGTGCTATTAGATCTACTGTGGTGCCATGCGATTTATTGTAGTGCTAGGAGACCTACTGTAGTGCCGAGTGAACTATTGTTGTGCCATAACGTCTACTGTTAATGTCATGATGTATTGTAGCGCTATACAATTTATTGCACCATAATGTGAACCATTGTTGTGCCATGGGATCTATTGTAGTTCGATGAAATTCATTGTAATGCCGCGCAGCCATTAACATATAGAATACATTACATAGATACGTGTCTCAAGACTGGTTATGCAAATTAAGTTCATTCATGTTTATAATTCATTCTACTTACTGTTATTGCAATGTTGTATGTCACAGAATTCCCATGACCTTTGATCCCGGGAGTCGTCTACAATATAACACCAAGGTCTTGTCTTCTCGACCTCTTCACTCGGGTTTCGACAAGCATTGCCGTCAAGACCTGTAACATGTATTAACGTGTTAGTACGAGATCGTTTTGGTAAATGGCCGCTGAAGTCTCGTTGTGAGCGAGAGATGGAGCATTTTTTTGTCTCCTCGAACAGTCTTCCATTCTCTCCTGTCACCGCACCCTGTTCCCCTGATCGACGTGACGATGGTAACCATGGTGGAATGGAACACTATTTGTGGGGCATAAACAAGTCTCGTGGCTCCCTCAGTCTCAATGAGATCTCGGCGGCCAGTTTGCATATGAGCTCTAATGTCGACATTCTAGCGTATGTCATAATCCGAGTAAATCGTGAAATATAAATGTCATACATGTTCGCAAGTGTTAAATAACACAATACATGAAATATCTCTTCAGCCTGCGGCCAACATATCTAGCATTACAGCATCTTGTTATACAAAGCGCCAATAACCCTCTGAACATGTGAATAAGACAGTTGTAAATCATTAACAGCAATTAATTACCGATATTTGGCATTTTCTTTGGTGTGTATTTAGATTTCGAATCTGCCCACTTGACACATGGCTTCCCAGATGCAGTTATATCAGCAATACCTCTATAGTCACTGCCACGTCCACGGTAACATCCTCTTCCATAGTCTTCACAGTATATGCAAATGATACAATTATCAAAATTGATAAATATTGAGAACTTGGAGTAAATTAATTATGATATACTAATACAGACGTCGATGGAGTCAAAGTATATTCGTATATGGCGTAAAACTAGGGAGTCGCCATTTTGTCAATGGACGATAGATGATGTAACTTTTTTTCGCGCAGAAGGAAAATAGTGGATGCCTTACCCTCAGAAACGCAGTTCAGTTCATCGGAGCCATCAGGACAATCGATGCGCACATTACATTGATAGTATTGATCGATACATGTACCGTCATTGCAAGTGAATGTTCCCAGTGGACAAACGCCTATAGGAATAATAATAACAATTTTCGCTAAAATTCACTACATCTTCACGACAATTAACTTAGATAATTTGATATTTAAGATGGAATATCGACAATTATCGCATTTTTTGAGATACTATGAAATGATTGTCATACGTTGCTTTGATTGTATACTTCTTGTAATTGAGTTATATCAATCGTTTTTACTATAGGTAGAGTGTTTTAAGGGATTTGCTTCGAAAATGGTTGATAACAAGTGCAAACGATCTTATGATTTTATGTGTATTTAAGTATTGCGTTGATGGCGTAGTTGCGTCATCTTGGCCATGTGTTTCATGAAAACAATATTTAGTCAAGTTTTCTAAAATAATAATAATAGGGCCGTTTAACATTGTAACAATATCTAATAGGGGGTATGTTTTTTAATCACCTGACTCCGAGAGGCCACGAGTTATTTTAAAATAGCTGTATGTCACACAATCGACCCACAAATCAAATTATCACGACAGACCACTGTCGAACAAAGCGATATATTTGCCCAGCCGTGTGTTCTGGATGATGGTAGATTAATAAAATCCGATGTTTGCGGTTATTTTCAACTTGAAGAGCGTTATTTTAGGTACATTTTGTATTGCCATTGTACAGTCATATTGACTCCTTTAATAAACCAGAATACTTCTGTTCAAATAAAATCATAACACTACTTTGTAAACTCACCATATTTATCTACATAATAGATACATGTGTCTTCGTCGCTACCATCGATACAATCTGTTGTTCGATCACAACGTTTATTCTTTGCAACACATTGTCCACTGTTGCATGTAAATTCTTCAGACAAACACTCCTCTGTAAATACAATTAATACAGTGTCAAATCCGTCGTTGTGCCGAATAACTATTCGTTCATTAACCATAACACGTATACACACTTACCTTCTTCACATTTATCGCTGTGATTGCCTACGTCACAATGCTCCCATTTGACGTCGGGGTCCATAGTGATGCACCAGGGTGCTCTCTGATTTTGTGCCTGGGACGGTATTCTGCAATAGTTGTGGTCACCGATTCCTAAGTTGGAGGCTGTCTCCGGGGAGTAGTGGTGTTCATGGGGAGTTTGAGAGGTCCATTTTTGACACAAACGTCCAGATGCCGTCCGGTTTACAGTCCCACGATAGTCTTTACCGTTTATATCCACGTAGCACTCGCCACCTAAAATATACAATTCTTTTGGTGAAACTCCACAGATATTCTTATTTTATAACACAGCTGCTACAATTGCAAAAAGTGCAGGAACGAGGACGTTTCAGAGTGTAAAAACAAATAAACTCATAAAATAAAACAGTTGATTGGGTATAATTATCGAACAGAGGAGGCGGCACAAAATTGTGTATGGAGGGCGAGATCTACTCACCTACCTTGCGCCTTCGGTGCGACCTTACTAGGGGGTTTGGGGCATGCTCCCCTTCACAATTTTGAAATCTAGACCTTCTGAAACGCTATTTTCTGCATTTTGAGGGGCAGATTTTGCTGATTTTGTTTCAGGTTGATTTTAGAGGGACGACGCACCCCCAACATTTTTGTCGAGGGGAAATATCGCGCATACAGATCAAGTTTTTTTACTTCTTAGTGAAGATAGAACATACACTGCTAAGAAATATAAAACAAATGTTTGAACCTACGGTATTTGCAGTCAAGTTCATCACTCCAGTCTCCGCAATGATTGCGCCCATCGCATACGTATTCTTTGTCAATACATAACTGATTTTTACACTTGAACTCATATTCTAACAAGCAAGTCGTGGTCGCTATAGAAACAATAAAATACAATATATTGTTCAGTTTAATAAGCATCCAGAGAACTAATAAAGACATGATACAAACTTTTCTACCAATGACCTCACATCGACCATACTCACGTTTATCGCATTGTTGCTGGCGAACGCCGGCGTTACAATATTCCCACCGAACGAATGGGTCTGTTGTGAAGCACCATGTGGCTGGTTCGTTGTCGGGATTTCTGCAATAGTTGTGCGACTGAATGCCTTTGCTTTTGCTCTGTTTAATGCGATGTTTATGTGGGACATTTTTCGTCCAGCTTTGGCATTCACGACCCGACACTGTTACATTAACTTTCCCACGGTAATCGTTACCATTCTCCAATGTGTAGCATTCCCCTCCTATTTGAATTATCGAGGATCGTAAGAATAGTCGTCATATTAGTTTATTATTTGAATCGTTAAGTATAATAAATTATACGAGACAAGCATGTACGGTCTTGACAGGTACAGTGTAATTACTAATTTTACAGCGAACTGGGAAAACGCATCAATGGATCGTAACATTAGTTGCGCTACTAGTCGCGGAACTGTTGATTAACATAAATACAGCAGAGAATATCATTAAATAAGTTGTAATTCACTGATAGTACGCTTCAATACATTATCGCGTAATACATCAATCGAATATTGTTACTGGTATTGATTCATCCAACTTTATTAGTTGCCAACAATCTGCACCCTTTCCAAATCATGTCCTTGACTAATGGATATATGCTACAATATAGCGTTTAATGGTCAATAAACATAAAACAAATGCAAATTGACAGTACTAGTAATGTAAACTTTATAGTGCATCTCCGGTATTGTTGTATCGAAGATAAATACTCACGGTACTCGCAATTCCACTCGTCCTGCCATTCACCGCAGTCATTCTTACCATCGCATAGTTTGGAGACATCAATACACACTTTATTAGGACATTTGAACTCGTGGTCGTGACAAGGAGCTACATGATGAGTGAATAAACGAATACATGATTGATTGACGCTGATGATTTACAGTAACAAGTGAAATTAATTCTGAAGTCACATGCAATCTTGGTTGCTATTGTGTTCAAAGAGAAGTGAATCAAAGGGAAACATAATACCATACAATACTCACGATAGAGACAATTTCTCTCATCCGAACCGTCTCGGCAGTCCCTGCGATAGTTGCATCTTTGATTCATTGGTATGCACTCCGAATCACCGCACATAAATCCACCGCATATAACTGGAATGATGGGTTGTACAAGTTTATACATTTGTTCATCAGGCAGCAAGAACATGTGCATGTACATGTTCTAACGACTTGGTGACTGTTATACATACCACATGTTTGTGAGTCTTCATCCGTTCCTTTGAGACAGTCATTGTAACCATCACACACGTTCTTCGCGGGAATACACGCGCCACTAGGACCACCATATTTACACCGGAATCCATCGTTGCCACAATCTACACGAATGAGTATATTGGTACATACTGGTGAATGGAAAAACATTACTTTTTGCAAGGGGAAGCATTGTCGGGCAATATTTAGTCAGAACAGGGTAGATATTTTTAGGATTAATTCAAGTCCCATTGCAAACTAGGTATTTGCCCACCAGCAATATTAGTGATAATAACAATGTGTTATTACTACATTGACTTAGATCCCGGTATAGCTGTAGTATATATTTGTTAATATTTCCATGGTTAGTTAAGAATAAATAAGTTACTTAAATGGTGTTCTTTTTGAAGAATGAGAAGCTGTCTGTGTAAATTGGAATAAGTAAATACAGTGTTAATACTATGCGAGAGTTTAACACGTTATCCTGAAAATATTCAGAATTTATTCATTTTAAATAAACATTATGTATTATGAATAATGGGGATCACCAGCCGTATTTTCGAGAAAATGATGGTTCTATTTTAGTTGCTATACTATATAATTCTCCATTAATTTAATCTCTTATAATTTTCAATTTGAAAAATGAGACATTACCTAAACATAATGAAACATAGTAGTTATCACAATAAACACTATAAAACAGCCACATTACTCTGAATAAATCTACAATGCTTCATGTCATTTTTTCGTTAAACGTGATTACAGTTATTTTGACGTGTACGATCTACTCACCATAATCACAGTCTTTCTCGTCGCTGCCGTCTTGGCAGTGATGAATTTTATCACAGATAAGTTGAGATTTCAAACACATAAGGCCATGATCACAGGCAAGGTCTCCTTCTAAGCAATTTGCTTCAAAGATTTAAGGTGGAAATATTAAAAAAGACATGAAATTTGTTGTTGTGGCACCTGACTGTATTTGGTGGCCAAGACATCTGTGATAATTAGCTTAATGAAACCTTTAACGCGATATTACATGTCATTTTATGTACACGCGGCTTCATCCCACTGCATACACATCATTCAAGTACACTTAAACCGATGGCGTTTGATGTAAATACTATGACGTTTACCGTTATTTTGAATATGTAATTCATATGTGCATTATGACCATGTAATAAAGTATATTAGTATAAATCGTAACTATGATGTGGAATTAGGAATGAGGGAAATAATATTTCGAATATCAGTTTGGTTGTTTACATTGATAATACACTGCATCACAACACGATATGACACAACACTACGCTACTTACGCTACGCTACGTCACGCCACGCCACGTCACGCCACGCCACGCACCACGCCGCACATTACGCCACACCACACGCCACACACCACGCCACACCACGCCACGCCACCACAACACATCACATCTCAGTACATCAAGCAACGAAACTCAACAACACCTTGCGCCGGATGAAATTAAATTAAAGCATGCCATTCGCAGATGAATCTTACCTTTGTAACTTCTGTAATAGTTAGTCAGCTTATATACTCCGAGTCCACCCTCGGTATCCTCTGGAAACTTAGTACTCATATAACAGTTTTCATTTAAAGTATAATCCACAGAATGGCAAATAAAGGCTGTGCCTTCTAGACAGTATCGTAGACATTCATCTAACTCGATCTTGGACAGAGTCTGGTCATTGTACGATGTCAGTGCTGCACTTATTGTTTTACTGAAATGATTCCTAGGGAAAGCTACAACAGAATATTCGTATATCATTGCATCGAGATCGATAACGGATTCACAGTCGTTGTTCCAACATTGTTCCGGTCGCTTCTAAACACACATCGCTTAATTATTATGGTCATATAGGCGATATCTACTCGTTAAATCCCTGAACTTACCTATACGTAGGTCATAGAACGTGTGCTCCTGGCCAGGTGTGAGAGTTCCTTTACCCGATGTCAGCGACTGAGCATTAAGACGACAGACTCCGTCCGTTGAATAGTCAACAGAATGACAGTCGATCTTGGGTGATCTCATGCATTCATGGAGACACTCCTCCTCGGTGAGTTCCACATCAATTGAATGGTGTGACAACGAGGACTGGTAACCTCTGTATGGGACGAACTGATTGTACGGATAAGTATCTGTGCATGGAGCATACGTTGACACAGGTGAATTACTAATATGCCACAACAAGATAGTATACGTAGTATAAACTGATATACAGAGACTTCCCCATAAATGACCGTGTGATATCGGATTAAAAAAGTGTACTAATTTTGATATGTTCCGAGCCTTTGGTTCATTAAAGAATTTTAGCGCCCTCAGTATTCATTTGCATATTGGAACGCTGTTTTAAATACAGTTTCATATTTGTATCGAAATTGATTTGTTCAAAATATATAATCCATGATCAGCTTGTTAGAAAAATTACTCAAAACGAGCATGACATTAATTTGCAGAAATTAGTTTTTAAACCACAAAAATAAAATATTGGAGGCTGTATATTATCATTGCCACCGCCACGGATGTTATTTTATTTTGATGGCGCACGTTTGTTGGTTTGTTTGGCTTGTTTGTTTGTAAGTAGGATAACTCAAATTGTTATAGATATTATATCATGAGATGTTCAGGAGCGCTAGCCATTGAAAACATATACTAATCGATTAGATTTTAGTTGGGATATGGATCTCGTTACCTTGGAAACAATATTTTTTTATTCTATTCATATCCGCTAATGATTTTATAAACGTTTTTAAATTTTGCGGATTGTTTCATGAACCACGGAATAAAAAGTCGTGATGAAACTGAAATTGTAGCATAAACTTATGTAATCATCAACAATACGTTGATCGATTCTGAATCAATATTCAAAGTTCACAGACGTTCATATCCCTATTTGGTCAATGATGTCGGACCACAAGTTCGTCAGAATATATGAGTGTCGGTACATAAGGGAGTCGAAATATGGGGATGAATGAACATAAGGGTGTTGAAATACAGGGTCACCAAACATTAATATCCTATTGCATATCCAAGGATCAAAAATATGCAATGGGATGTATAACATGGAACAGAAAGATAAATAGAATAAAAATTACTCACAACGGAAACGTTCAAAGTGAACGTAAGTAGGGTCTGTTGTATACTCTACAGCTGCGGTCCACGATGTATGTGCACTGAGGCAACACAATCTGCCCACCATCCAGTAATCGACGGAACGGCAATGAAACCGAGTCTCTTGAAGACATGATTTTAAACACTCTGTAACATTCATATTCTCTAATTTCATCTCATAGTAACCCAATATAGCTCTGCCATCTCGTCTTTTAAAATTATTATATGGAAAGTTACCTGGAATGAATAACGATCGACTAATGATTCATAAATTAATACAAATTGTCAAAGCTTATCTCATACGTAATTGCTGGATTTATTGTCGCTTACGATTTATCATTACAAAAGGAATATGGGTGGAACGTAAAAATGAACACACTAAAGTTCATGATTTATTTAGTGTAATTGCAAAATTTATACTCGGTTGCTAGCTTATTGAGCTGATCAAACCAATGTTATGTACACATTTGGATTCAGTAATGTCTACGAAATTCAATTTAAAAAATCGAATGCTGTACGACGTTCGTTTCTAAGTCCTGACTTACCAATTATGCTTTCGTAATAGACAACTGCTCTGTTCGTCGTCATGGCAACGGCATTTCGTGTTACAAAACTTTGAGAATTCAGTTCGCATGTTCCATTGTCAGGCACGTGATTGACTGACCGGCAGTGAAAGTCGCGTTCATCTAGACACAGGGAAAGACAGTCATCTTCCGTCTGTCCTTTTAATGTCTTCTCCGTAAACCCCCCAAACACCAGATTTCTTGTCTTGATGAAATTATTCTTTGGATAATTTAGTATATGGCTAGCTATCGAATGAAAAAAAAACACACTGATCGATAAAATCTGACATATATACGTTAAAACGTGGGACACGATTCTACTAATGCCTTATATCATAAGCAATAACAGTAATATTAACAATAAACATCCACGGCATGAACATTTTCTTTTCAGTCTATGTTAAGTTAATGGATAATATATGGTTGTATTATACCGCAATATTAAAATATACCCTCTATGATTATGCTATTATACTATTATAGTAAAAGGAAAAGACGGGCAGGTATTCATCAGTGTTCAATATGGCGTGGATGATAATAATAGTAGAAGTAAAAGTCAGTAAATAAGCACACGACTACTCATGGTTCTTCATCTAGTTTCACCCTATAGTTAGCGATTTCTGAACGGACAGTGTGGGATGTGTGTAGATGGGAAATGGCAGAATTAGGAGTAAAGTAGTAAAACATGGTAAATAAACATACGATAACGATAATTCAAAGTGTTCCAGCTTGTAGTATCAGTTCGCAGATAGAGGAATCTTACACAGAGATTTCCCGGATGAAGCTTTAATTTTAGGCTGAAGCGTTTTACAATTTTATCTCATTTGATGAAAAACCAGGAGTAGTGTTTATTTACCATTTTGTATCACTGTCATACATACGTATATATGTCTCTTGACAATATGTGTCCTTCGTTACACAACTCCCATTTTGACATCGATAGAGCTGACCAGGACATTCAACGGCCATTACGTCTTCTGAGGCATAACACACCATTTGAAAACCATTTAACAAACAAACAAACAAACATGTATTTTAATTATTTCACTGGTAAAGGCAGGCGTTTACGTTCCATACACATTGAGAATTGGCATATATAACGTACGGTTGCTTGTTTCGGTCGTCGAATTTGATCAATTGGAACTGCCTAGGCTCGAGCCAGAAACGTCTAGGTTCTCTCTACACACACTAAAATGTACACAAATGACTTGATAGTTTGTGTAGATGAACAATAGAATGATAAGTGTCACACAAAATATCCGGATATACATGACATGGGACACCTGATACACGCATTTATTTATCTTGAGACCATCCATCCGCCATGACCATACTAATCTAAATAGAACAGGTTTGATTCCCATGTATTGCCAAATGTTTAAAATTGAGATGGATATTGTCTAGATAAATTCTACGAAAAAGTCTAGAACTACATTGGGTGAGCTTAGGGTGTTTCAAAGACTAACTAGAATAAACTCCTCGTCACGGTTTTCTCGTCCTACTTTACGGTTGATTCCTTATAATATGACGTCATTAGTATAACAAAAACATATCTTCGAAAGGTCGCGGTCGATTCATAAAGTCAAGTTCGAACGACAGCTACTTTTGATGTATTCGATTGCAATTTTCTAAAATTAATAGTATTTTGTTGATGATTTTCTACTTTGGTCAAATCTCCTGTGCACATCTCACCTCTCGGGAACAGATTCGTTCTACGGAATACAAAGATGAGTAGTCCCGCGCTGAGCATCAAAAATGCGTTTACTTATTCTTATGTTCGTGTTATCGATCATTCGGGAGGATTTATTACTATATCAATCACATGTGTGAATCGAATGTTTTCTATTGTTGTCACGATTCATGGGCACATTGTTGAAGGTTTTCTTTTGTTGTCGCAAACATCACGGTTCATGGGCACGTTGTTGAATGTTTTCTATTGTTGTCGCAAATGTCACATGTCATGGGTACATTGTTGAATGCTATTATTGTTGTCGTAAACTATATATATTGGCGTTTACTATATTCCGCTTTGATTTACCTTGATTCTGAAAGTCAGTTTCATTACTCCCTATGTATACGAGGCACTCTGACGGGTCTTCCTGACATGTACCATCGTGGCACATCACTTTATCCCCATCACAACTTTCTGTAATTTGAATAAAGATCATTTTAGTATAAAAAATATAAAACATTACCTGAGGTAATTGGAAGATGATGTTGTCCTACTTTCTGTTTTATTCAATGGTATTTCCAATGGTAATTGTAACTAGTTGGACCATTCAAACGATGGCAATAAAGGCGGAAACAAACATTTGAAAAGGCGTTATTAGGCTCCTACCGCACGTGAGAAAAATACGGAGGCAGAATACTTTAGTTAAAATACCCTGCTAAAATGACATGTATGATGACACAAATAAATTGACTTAATCATCTATTTTGGCAAATTATTCACAGCCGATATATTATTCCAAGTTCAAAGCATATAATCTGGGTTGTTTTATTGAAGAAATTTGCGTTCCACACTCCCAAATCGTTTTACCCGTCATGTTTGGCTCGCTTTCACAGTTCATTCTGCATTTATTCACGATAACCGTATACGTCCGTACACTAATGCATACCCACCAAACGAGCAATTGAATTCATCCGACCAATCACGACAATCGTTATGGAAATCACAGCGTTTGTTTGTCAGGATACAGTTACCATTTCCGCACGTAAATTGACCATTGAGACACGAATCTTGAATGAAAAATGTATAGATATAATATAGTATGTAATGAACAAAATATTATTATCATGAGCAATAATGATAAGTGGACAATGACGAAACATTGATAGATGTGGATGTTCCATGAGTAGTGAAACTCATACTAAAATCGAGATTGACAAATTATAGAATGATTAAAAAATTATAAAAAACAGAATGTTTTCTATTTCATATACAGTATGATAGGCCTGATTCTCAAATCCAACGCTTCTGGCGGCTTCGTGTTACAATGTCATAAAATCAGAGATGGTACATAAAATATAATCCAGTGAATTCATTAGATTAATCTCCAAACTCAATACTCCCGATGGATTCATATTAAAATGTAATGCAAATAAAAAACGAATAAAACCTAATAGTAAGGGTAATGCTTTCATCAATTATTCAAAATGTTGTCCGGTTGTAAATATTCCTCCGTGTATTAAAAAAAATTGTTGCCTAATATGAGAGATTTACGTCAAATAAACTTTTATTGAGTAACACGTGACTCAACAGTCCTTTTCAATATAGCTAGACATACCTAATCCAACTATACATAATTTACTAATATTAATAGGAAGTTATTATTTAGCTTCAAATGTTCCTGGTTGCCTTTACCTCGTTTAACGCACATTTCTTCATCACTGTAGTCTTCACAGTCGGGGACGCGGTCACATTTCCACGAATCGGGGATCCGACGAGAATTTCCGTCGCATAAAAATCCATTTGCAATCTCTATAAGGTATGGATATAATAAGTCTGAGACGTTGTGGAACACATCGTAGTCAATCTCAGTAATTGACATGTTTTGATAGTGCTGGCATACCTTGTATTAAAAATGACTGCACATTTTCGATAAATTATATAATATATGTTATTTCCGAAGTAGGCACACTTTGTATCTTGTAATTGGTTGAGTCCCAAAGGCAAAGTATTGAATCATTAAATGAAAAGAAGATGAGGTAGCTCTGCTGTCAATTTGAAGTGTGTCGTGGAATACATAATGCTGGATGTGACTTTCAATATATACATGTATAAATTGGAACCCAGTAACTTGACAAGTATTACGTATCATCAGTAATAGTTTAATGTTGACCACTGTTTATCAATTATTTTATCATAAATCGACATTCCCGTCAAAATGGTTTTAATCAGTAAAATGGGGAGCGACAACAATTCAATTAATATATTACTTGTTGATTTGATTATGGTTAACTGAATAATGATAAACGAAATTGTTTCAATATGAACATCACTAAAGTTCAACTGTGACCTCCTCCCTAAACATCAGCAACATTATATTGATTTCTCCCATTTTTTATGTGTGACATGTATTTGGTCGCACACAGACAATAATAAGAGTGGTGCCCAATATTATAGAGATTACGATGAAAACTGTCGATATATGACCAATGGCATGTGACAGTTACCATGACATTTTGTTTTCATATTCTGGAAACGCTCTCGTACCCATTAATCTGTCTAACTATGAACAGAGTTTTGTGAACCCATTTAATAAATCTGCTTCACAAATAAAGATCGATGGTTTACATTTTCGTGAATCGGAAAACGGGCTCAGAAGTCATAATTTTTAAATATGATTATATATTACTCCTTGTTTCATCGTGTAGGTTCAGTCCATTATAAGCCAGAGTCGCATCTAATGATGACTTTGCACTGTTGGGCGTGTTTTGTATAGATAATAAGGTCTAAGTCAGCTGGCTTACAAGGGTCAGTAACATTATTCTTATGTCAATTTCTCCTCACATTTCCTCTGTTTAGGGGGGGTACTAAGGGAGATGGAAACATCAACCTTGTTTCTATGGAAACGAGTCTAGTACCCGTAATTATTTTTTATATAACTGAAACTAGTAGCTCATTTAACTAACTAAGAGGACAGGCCGAAAAACAGACTCGATAATAATTTAAGTAGACTATGACTACGAAAACAATCTAAATGAACACAATACGAACTCAAGCTATATACACCAAGGCCCTAAGACTATGAAACGATCAACACTATTTGTCAGTTGTCTACGCCATAACATGAAACATCGTCTCTTATTGGAGAAAGCTAATAGGATAAAGCATTGCAAAATGTTAAAGGTTGTCAGACATTAATGACGATTACGTACAAGATGGAGATTAAACAATCATCCAGCTGTATTTACCACGGGGGATTCGTCACCTGCGTATGCATCAGGGCATAGCGTTTACAAACAAGCGTCTACCCATGAGGGTTTGCGTTTTAACGCGTGCTGTTATCATCACTTGGGACTCAATTCCCGCGCGTGCGCTTTAAAGCGTAGCGATCGTCGTGCAGTTCGTGTTCGAAATTCGTATAAACGAACAATGACATTTCTACGCGTTGTTTAAGTCGCTATAGGGTCGAACTGGACGATGCCCGACAGCTGTAAGTCCGCATGGTAACCCGACTGTTCATGATATTTTATTTTATTGAGAAAACAAGGGACTGTGTGCAAGTTGGAAGGTAAATTTACCAAGGGAGAAGGGGTGTTATGAGAGCGTAGCCCGACCCCCTCCTCCGATGTGCGTGTTGTTAGTTAATTTGATATTGGCTACATTATTTTAATTTGAAGTACAAGACAAGGTTAAAATTATTTTCCCATCAACAAATCGTTATCCAATTTCAGCCATCTGTTCAAAAACAATGACCACAACTGTTTTACGAACGAAGTTTAAAATAACTACTGTCAGAAACACCATTGCTTGTCGCGCACTATTGGATGTAATCACCAGCTGCAACGCGGTCGCTAATTGGCTAATTGAATTGTCAAGTTAATCTTGCGGCGCAATTTGCTAGTAATTTGGTGCTTTTGTGCATGGTGCTGCATAATCATATGCGCACTGTGCGGCGATTTAACAGTTTTAACGTATACTGAACTGACTAAATATGCTCTTTTCATTGAGAGCAGCAGCACGGTCTCTATGAATGAGAGTGAGAGACATTGTTTGTTAATTTAATAACGTGCCTGTATTATAATTTAACAACGTACTTACCACAATTGTGTTCATCTGCTCCATCACTACAGTGTTCGAAACCGTCACACACGTTGTCTTTGAGAATGCACCGGCCATATGCACCTCCCGACTGACATAAAAACTCCGACCCAGTGCACACTGAAAATAGTTTAATAAAATGTGTCAATCATATTGATGTGTAGGGTTTATTGGTAGTTATCGTAGACACGACACGTTTGTCTTGTCAGACGTAGTAAAGAGGGAGGTCGTTCAGATATGATGAACACTTACCACAATTTCGTTCATCTTGACTATCGTAGCAATCAACCGTTCCATCACAACGCTTCTCGAGTGGTATGCATAGTCCATGTGGACTGCCTTCATCACAACGAAATTGATCCTTACCACAATTTCCTAGAATACATTGATATGAATAATTATTTATTCATTGAAATTAATCAGAGTTACACATAATATGGTAATTTACATTAGAGTTCTTTATTAGAAGAGACAAAACATCGTTGTTTTGGTCACACAGATACCAATTTAAATTAAATTTTGAATTAATAGTAGGTACCAGTATTTCATAGCGCGTCTCATTTGTGACATTTTGGGTGGTTTTAATTTACCCCTTATCTGGTCAATATAAATGTACATGTACATGGCGTGATAAGGGTTACATCATAAGGAACTTGTGTAATATAATATAATCCACGTTAAAAAATGCCATGATATTTAAAACAAAACGCGTCAAATCACGTCGCGCCACGTCACGTCACGTCACATCACACCACATCACACCACACCACACCACACCATACCACACCACACCACACCACACCACACCACACCACACCACACCACATCGCATCACATCGCATCACATCACATACCCAAGGCGAGGTGCATAAATAAAGCAAAGTAGTAATTCCTACCGTATTTGCAGTCTTCTTCGTCACTTCCGTCAGAACACTGTTTAGCACCGTCACATACGTGATATGATTTCAAACACGTGATACCATTACTGCATATAAAATCTCCTTTCAAGCATGGCACTAAAGGAGATGAAATTAAATGTGGCGATCATGGCATGGCTTGTACTCAAAACATTACATTCACGGTAATGCAATAATTAGCATGTCAGTGCTATATTTCGTTCCAGACCATTGCAATTATTTTTGTTTATTTGTATGACATAATGTGCAAAAAACAAATTTCCGGATTTCAAATTATTAAAGATGCTTAATTGACACACGTAATATGTTCGTTTAATTAAAAGACGTGTGACGTATCAGTACTCAATAAAAACCGTCATTGCCAATATTCCGATGTCTAAACTGTATTGTCAGTCGTGAATCAAACGGTGTCTTCGCCTGCGATGACTTTAAGCGTCACACCGGCGTTATTTGTTGATATATTTGAAACTAACATGTAGCGAAATTGCCTGAAACATGTATATTTTGACTATGTGAATGTCGATGATCGGCACAAGTAATTGAATAAAACCGACACTCAAAACGAAGAATTGACGTTTTTCCTTGCATAGGCGACTTTTCTAAAACTGGTAATAATCGCTACCTGTATTTAATGCCAGTCTCATATGACATACTCATGACTAGTTTTAATTACATTAAAATTGTCCCGTCATATTATCAACAACTTACACAATGTAAATATGCGTATGACACAATAGGAGCTTTGAGCGTGTGACTGTGCGATAATTATCTTGCATAATGACAAAATAAACTCTGTAATCTTAATTCAAAATTGAATGCCTGATTTACCAAAGTGATACGATATGTGATTGCTTCAAACAGTTGATTGGATAACCTTTGTTGCCATAACCGTGCGATCATTTCATGGGGCATTTTTATTTGGAAATGGGGAATATCAAATATGGGACGATTACGCCATCTTGTTTCCAAGATGGCGGACGTTTAAAAAAACGAAATTCATAGCGAGAAAATTCCAATAATATTCCCCATGATGTTCAGTGCGCATGCTCCACCGAAAGTCTGGTTTGGAAATATACATAGTAATAAGGTTACGCACTAACACTATACTCGGTCGCATCGACCTCTTCTACGCGGATTATGATTACAGAGAGCGTTATACCCACAATTAAATTCACTTAACATAAATCGTGGACATATGTTTGTCAATATTCTCATATCATCATCTACTAATACAGTAAAGATGTGTACACATCGTACGATGTTAGGTGCTGCCGTAGTGTTGGTTTTTAATTAACCGTCATTACCGGACTTAAACGTTGAAACGATTCTTAATTGCAGCAACCTCGTAATCTACACTCCAAGCGTAATTTCCGTCTATTTAACTAACTAAGTAAACGACAAGTAGCATTCAACAATTTGTTTTTATTCTCTTTTATTTGACATTAATATTTTGACCGCTCATTGTCCCGGGTCTTCGAATAACTAAACTGGGGAATGTTAGTCACAACTACACGCTGCTTTTAAAGGTGTATCATAAATACACCCGTAGTAAATATTAGCCAGTAACCAAAAAGCTAATGTGTAAATATCCACACAATGTGTCATTGCACGGAACAATAGTTGTCGCCATTATTAGTAGCTGGTATGGTGATTTCCAACGAACAAAAGTAAACGCGATGTTACGTACCCTGTAACGAGCGATTGTTTTTCTCATTGTTGAAGTCAATCAATTCTACTTCGACGATGTACACGACTCATACAAACATATACATATCAGCACGTGTAATTAACTTAATAACAGCTTCAATGGTATATCCTATAACGTGCGGGCGATTTTTATCTCACTTACACAATTACTTATATCATTGACTTACGGGGTTTGTATGTTCATGTAGAACACATTCGCTATTGCGGATTTCATGCATGTAGTATTCCACCTGTTATTTATATAAGTGAAATAAAATCACATCGTATCAGCTTTTTATTGCGTGGCTGGACGGCCAATAGTAAAAAGGATGCCTAAAGTACGTATAACATAACATGGGATGGAATGCACGTCGAGGCAAATTTGAATTCAGGCAAATAAGAAACACAACGCAATAGTGCGTATATTACCACAAGACAATGTGACCACAGGTACGGCGATTGTTCAGCCAAACACATTGTTGTACTAAGTGTTTTCGAGATTACATTTTCTATATAACACCTAAATCGATTACGTCTGTGTGTTTATTTTAAGTTTAGCCTGTTGTGTTCAAACATGTACTCATGGAGATATGCTTATTCTATACGTACAGACTCTCTGTAAGTTAATGCGATAACAACAATAATAACACTTACCGTAATAAGGAAGCACCTCGTTCTGTTCGACGGAGCCAACCATTTCGCGATGCCGACTATCTTGTACGGCCGATCGCCTCAGCTTATTAGTGTTACATACAGTCACCGAGGGAAATAACATAGAAGGCTCCGACACCACTTCCACTTTCACGTCGATCGGGTATTCTATGAATAGTGCCACAAGTATCGAAAATTGACGCACGAATGCTGCAGCCGCTATAAGAAATATCACTGTCCACACAAATCGTTTTAGCGTCGATTTTGCGCCAAGTATCCGAGGTATGCCATGCGCGGATGTCTGCAAACCAAACCGCTTACACGTGCTTTTCAGTGATTTACATTTCTTCTGTGATCCTATTTTGTAGGTTGTAATGGCAGCCTGTTGTCGATTACTATACATATTTGTTATCGGTTGCAAAGAAGATCTGTATAAAACGTTCGTTTTCTTATTCAGAAAAAAAAATAAAAAACTCGAACTTATAAGTCAGTTTATTACCTTTGCATTTATGACGTCGGTTCTCCGTTGCATTAACTGAAGGTCCTTTAACACTGCTGCGCTCCGATCTTGAATTGAGTTTCATAACAAAGAGTACAAAAACACCTGTCATGTGCGCAAGCGCATCATTTTAAATGTAAATCATGACGAAATGGGGGTGTCTAATGTACTTAAGCACAACATAGACTTGCTTGCAATAGACTGCATTATGGTAATTAAAACAACTGATGTAACAGCTTATTAATTTCACCACCATTGATTGACAGCTTGTGATCTCAGGCACAAGGTCTCATCCCCACGCTGGTCACGGTAAATCACAACATGTATGTGTTCCTATTCGCTTGCATTAATTATTATAATAATATGCGTGGTAACAGCTTATTCCGATATTAGTTGTACCACTAATTATTCAGAGTTTGAATGTACTTCACCTTTGACTACAATACAGATGGCACGTATTTACCGATTGTTTTACTATGTGTACTCAATTATGGAATTATAGTACACTTCACAACCATCACAGAGTGTGAACATGAGCCCGTCCTTATTTTAATTAACGGTCTCCCCGCGACGTTCGTTAGTAATAAAAAAACGTTATTTGCGTTTTTAAGCATTTTTTGTTTCCACATGTTTTAATTCATCCGCGCAATAAGCCAACATGACGCAGGATAAAATGTTTAGGTCACAGATATACACCCAACTGCACTTTACCAGCTATGTAGTTATTTTCTTTATTTGTAAATTCGCACATTTGTAGTATTTCACTTTGAAAATAGTACATCGAAGCGCAACAGTCATCGTGCTACGCTCGTTCGAATTCCATGTAAACAAACAAAGTATTATACACGCGTTGCGTACGACGCATGCGACCCATGTCAACAACTGTGATGCGTCAAATAAAATTAGGAACGGGAGTATTTTAATTCGCTGATTGTTTGATTGATGGCTGGATAAATTGAATGTAAACCGTCTTGAAAATATTTTTTTTTCGTTCATGTTTGCGTTTGAGTGTCAAAATATATTAAGAAAGCGCGATAATTTAAATGCAGCGCCCTCAATATCATTTTCAATTTAATTGCTGGAAAATATATGGCATGGGCTTAGGTATTTAAAATGACGACATACCATTATTTGGAATTTCACCAAATACATATCACCGAGGCATATATCTCGCAGCATTGAATACAATGGGTAAACTTTGTCATGTATCATACGTGTCAGTAACTATGTAGCAGCGTAATTGGTCCGTTAAATTTTATTTTATGAAGGAACATACAATTTCCATGTTTCCGAACTACAATGTAAAATTATTACAATGCTTCACACATGTTCACTTCCATTGTCCAATTGTAGTGAATTTATTCCCTTTGTGTGTTATACTAAGTTGCTCTGACGTAGAACGTACACAATTCATACGTACTTCTGAATGAAATGACATCAGAGAAGCTAATGATATTAACTAAATCGGAATGAAAATAACGGAAATATAGTCAAATACTACTATAACCAACGTACCCAATTAAACAGTCCAGGCACACGTGAAATACAGAAAGATACTGTTCTCAAGGTAAAAGCCAAGGAGTGGTATCAGGTGTTTTAAAAAGAGTAAGCTCGTTATTAATATGAACAATGTTTCAAAAAAGTCCCCACTAATACAGTGTACAGTGATGCCAAGTAATATGACCCAAGCATAAGCTCAGATGTCAGGTTTGACATTATCACAATTATACTGTAAAATTATGCCCAAGATTCGTCCTAAATTTATCCTCGTTTATGTGATCAGGATCAAACAGTAGCAGGAATTACAATTAGCTTTCATTCATTCATTCATTCATTCATTTATTCATTCATACATTCATTCATACATTCATTCATTCGTTGAATGTTATTACATACACATGGATATGTGTAAAGTTACGTAATATCACATGAAAATCGATAAAGTATTGCATGCCGAATTGTAGCTAGGTTACATTATTTATTTAAATTTATTATTATTGATATGAATAGAATATTTTTTGCCGTATATAAACATAATTGAGACTGTAAACCAAACAATTTCACACTCAGTTCTGAACGCGTCGATTCGACATACTGGAGAAGGCAAACAACACAAATTATTGTACTACATTTAAGGAAATTAACATCGTGTTGAGAATCATTCATCGTATTGCAAACCGAAAACATATTGTATTTAAATAACTCACTTTATTTCGAAATGGGATTTTGACATGCATTGTGTATTTGAGCGACTAAATTCATTTAACGTTTCAAGCTGAATAAACATGGGAATTGATGTAAGGATATAATTTCACATGTACAGTATGTAATTATTTCAAAGGTCGATATAATTACCCAGGTAGACGTGTGTGGACTTGTATACTGGCGCCGCCACTTCATAATATGAATAAACCGTATTTGTCAACAACATAATAAAATTTATATTGATTTCAATATATATGCGTTTTACTGAAGTTGACTTATTCATGGGTTTCGTAAAAAATGAAGTAAAAGTGTATGATTTCAATAGTTTCTGTTTTATTCCCCCAAACATGTAATCAATAATCCCTACTTTATATGTACGGACACGACACTCCTCACTAATATTGATGTGACTGGTATTTGAACTGAGACTTTGAATATCTTTTGAATGCGTCTAGCAATAAATCCATTTTTATATTCATATCGTTCTCTGTCGGTTTACAGCTAATTTTAATTGAGTGTCCGGGCTGCTATTAAATGAGTGGATAAGGTTAAATCCTACTCTAATCAAAGAAAAAAGTAAGAATAAACCAAAATAATTAATTTGGCATACTGAAAGACTAAAGTTGCGAAGAAAGAAACATGTAGAATTAGTACAGTAATTTTTCAAAATTTATCTTCTTCAAATACAGTAAGTGACTACAATTTATTAATACCTTTATTACATATATTGCAGAACAGTGAAACGCATTTTTCTCTCAGTTTGTTCTTAATAACCACATGGCTAATGCATAATGTATCTTTCATATACAGGCTCGTTTTTATAGCATACTGTGAAGTAACTGTGAATGTTAAATTACAAACATTAGCAAGATCACCTAAGTAACCGGAAATATGTAAATTAATTAGTTGATTGTATTTAATAGTAGCCTAGATATACTATTTATGTTAATGAACTTAGTACGTTCATTTTCCCGAATAACCATGCTCACACGAAATATGTAGGCTAATATAAAAGATATGAATATAGAATAATTGGGAAAGGATACGTTAACTGAAACGTCTGGGTGTATTGAGTAATTACTAAGGACTACGATAACTTACAACCATGTTCTGTATGTTATATTTACCGGTTCAAGTGAAATCAATCATGCAACAAAAAACTAAATTCTATTTACTCGAAGGGAAGTAGAAAAACGTGTTTAAAATGTTTATTTGTATTGTATAACAATTAATAAAATCAACATCGGATAAGAAGTCAAGTTCTTGCACTGCAAATCGAATAACCAGTGTATTAATTTAATGTATGGATTTGAAATGTGTTTTGTGCAATATTGGCTAAATTCTTTTAACGTTTTAAGCTTTAACGTGGCGTTTCAATTTTGAAATTTTAAATACAAATTGAAACACAGTAAACAATATGTTATAATTGCCAAATGATTTCAATATTTTATTTTCTATTGTTTAAACATAGAATCAATAAATATCCGTTTAAATGTACGAACACATTACTCCGCATGGAAGAGACCGTTGGATGAACTCGGTATTTTTCAATGCGTCTAGTCAATAAATTGATTTTTTATTCAGAACATGTCTGTCGCTGTACAACTCAATTCAATTGGATGTTGGGATTCCCACCAAGTCAGTTCATAACGTTACACTGAACGTAATATTTTTCCTAATTCTATCAAATAAGCATATTAGATAGAAGCTAAAGCAGAACCCTATAAAACTAATACTGTTATGTTGTGTGGTTCACATGCTTCATGTAAAGTTTGTGGCGAAATTTGTTATAACCTTTACAACAAATTGAGGTACGAGTACTCTCTTTCTCACCATATAACCTTGTTTAGTACGCACTCTACATAGTAACGGCTGTCCTTTTAGTGCATACGAATTGTGTGTAAACAGATTATGTATATCTTAGATGCGGGGGATATGTGTAAATACAATCTTACAGTAATATTTATTTGAAAAGCAACGTTTAATCACCGTGAAATACAAATATTTAAATACATTAAACATCAACTTAGTTTTTTCATTTATGTTTTTATTAATGACACCTATGCTAACACATACATCTTGCATATTTAAATGTAGACACAGGCAAACATTGGGAAAATTTTTCAATCCTGTCCACGTGAGATTTGTACAAATTGTAAATATTCAAATGTCTGGAAAATTTGTATTACCATTTATATAGTTTGGTATACATAAATCAAGTTTTAATTTAATTTAGTTCACTTCATTTTGCTTGATAAATCGCGCATAAATCAATGTATCGTGATGTTTATGATTTCGTGGCTTAAAATCAGGAGCTTATGATCTGTGTGCTATTGGAAATATAGATTCACGAGCAACTGACCAAACATACATTGCATTCACAATTATTTAATTTGATAAACTGTCATGTGGTATTGGTTTTAGTTATTCTACTGTAATATACAACACTAATTGTAATGATGTCGTATGTACCATGTCGCCAATGGGGGGGGGGGGTGGTGGCTGTCAGACAAAAGGTAATGTCGACAGCAATAAGACAAGTTCATGCTCTTTATTATCACTAATTACACTAATTAATAATTACGCAAGTGAGTTATTTCAAAAGATACATGTCCAAAATTCTGTTTCAAAAACTCAAAATAACAAAGATAAATGTACTCTGAAGTTATTTCTGTAACTGTGTCGTTTTCATGAAGCGAAAAAAATGTGTCCCATTAAATTAGCACATAATCCCGTCCCATCATCGTTTAACCGAGATTATTTACGAGAATGTAGCAGTACACCTGATATTTTGTTGCATTAATTTAAATGACATCAATTAAACGTCAGATCATACACGTAATACAAATTATTGTATAATGGGTATACATGCTATATATTTCTATTTGTATATCTAAAATTCGTGCAAGATGGGATCGTTATATTCGTTAGGAATGTTTTAGAAAGCGATTTCAAATTTACATCACGTCATATCATCTGAAACAAAATCTCACTATATCACACAATAGTTCCAAAAATTCAACGACGGTGATTAAAGATAATCCGATGTAAAGTCCCAGTGATCCACCGATATCACCAATAAGGTTCTCGACCTGTAACGACAAACATAAATTATGATTATTTTTCTTTGCCGCCTATTTAATTAATTATTCCACATTATGCAAATGCCAACATATCATGTTTCAAAATAATTGAGTTATGTCTGGCACCTATTTAATAGTAAATACACACTTACGCAGAGTATCAGAGGGTGAAAGGTCGCTCATCACCACACGGGATAGTAATTAACCTATAATCGATGTGACGTTATATTTAAAAAAAAAAAACTATTCGTCTCTGTCACTTAGTGAATCACCACTATGACGGTATTTAATTTAGTATTGAAAGGTTAAAACTATTCTCATTCATTTCATTCAATTCTTAGATGTTGTTGGTATTGATTTCTTAGAATTGAAAAATTATTATCACAAAATACAAAAGACGTTTTTAACAAGAACATACCTAATTTATAAATGATTGTAATTAGTGTTTTTTTACCTTATGAAAGAAAGTTAAATGTATTATATTAAATAATCCGAATGTTATTATAGACGTTAATATTACAATGTTGTACGTGTCCTTGTGTAGTGGTTTATTATACATTGGTATAGGCGAACATCCGGGCATTTTAAATAATATAAGTATACAATTATTCCCTAGAATTGCATCTTCTTTTCTAAATGTTTTATATTTAACATAAATGAAAATGTCCATGTATGGTCAAATGGGTAAAATACGGTGTATCAAAATCAAACCATTAATGAATTATATAAATTATATTTCGTCAAAATATTTGTTCCCGGTAAAATTGTATCTTTTGAAACAATTATAAATAGATATAATTTGAAAAATAACCATATCAATCGTCTCAGATGGATGGGTTTATTTTTCAGCAATCCCTTATAGAATGAAATTAAATGTCTTGAATCAATAGATTAGTTACGAACTCATTCGTTTGTCGATTCAAAATAAAGATCCAAATCTTAGGTTTGATAAAGTCACTACTAGCAGAATATATTGGCACTTGATTAATAGAAAAGCCACACAGTCCACTGAGAAAAAATATATTATCTGAACGATATCATAATGGCATTTCGAATACTGATTGGCATTACTATTACTTATTACCGGGGAAAGTGCTGAAAATGTGAGAAAAGATAATTTCAATACATGTATAAAATTTTGAATAATGTTTTTTGTACTAATTTCCACTTTTATAATATGGGTAAACGTGATAATGCTTTATGTAACGTTTGTGAAGTATTTCCAGAAAAAAACAGAACACTTACTTTTGACGTGTGTTTTTGTTTCTAATTTTTGGAATGTAATATCTTTGTGGAGTGCTATTACTGGTAAACAACTTACATTGCATGTTGAAGATATTATAATATTATTTGGAATAATGGGCAATATTCTCAATATCAACTAATTTTGAATGTATTTGTTTTTCATGCTAAATATTTTATTTATTAATGTAGATATGATAAAAACAAACCTGCTTTTCAGTTTTTCTTATTTATATTAAAGAATTTTTCGATAAATAATATACTATATCAAAAAATTAAACCATATTTTTGATATATTTGTTAAAAGTTGGCAACCATGTTTTTTATATTTTGAATAGATGCCATCACTCCTCCATTTTTCCTGTAATTTTATGTAATCATTTTTTTAATAATTTACCTTGTTATGTACATTTGTATTGTCTTGTTGAAAAAAAATAAAGGAAAAAAATATGTAGAAAACTTACATGATATGCTGGCTTTGCGGTGATTTTCTCGAGATTCAATTCTTCAAAATACACCTCCAGTCTGACAAGATTTTTCCTAGTAAAGGTATATCAGAAATATAGGTTTTAGGTTTATTTTCACTTGTAATATAAAGGTAGTTTGTTCCGTCATGCATTACGTTGTCATGCACGGAACGAGATTCTGCTCTAAAACTCTCGAGTGACGATAATCACCACAGCACAACTGTGCATGACATGTCAAATTTATTATGCATTAGCCCAATATATATTTGACTAATATTAACATCTTCAAGGGATTCAGATTCTTAAAATTATTAGTGTGCGTTTTCTATGTATAATAAAGTGCAGTCATTGGCATTATTATGTGTATACGTAGTATCTATATGTGTTGCGTGACAAGATGTGTGTACAATGGTATACTCACTCTGCATCGTCAATGCTTCTTATGGTCTCGGTTTTATTATTAATTGCATATATTCCTTTCAATAGACGCCCCTAATAAAGAAACGCATAGAATGTATATAAAACACGCTGCATTCACGGTATTTGATCGTACAAGCGTAAATCTGACATATTAAACATTTATTTGCAGTTCATAATGGGTTGTTCACCATTAGTTATTTGATTGTTTGTATTCATGTGTCGTACTGATTATTTCGAAGTTGGTAGACAGACACGACCCCCTAAGGCAGTCGATGATTTAGATTATATTACTTATTTTATAGAAGCAAAGTTATTTGTTTGTGTTTGCATTATACTCAAGTGTAGGTATACAAACTGTGTTTCGCTATGATAGTGATTCTCTCTGATAGGACGAGGATGTGATCTTTTAAAGACGAGACACTGTTGTCCATGATCTCACGGCCTCCCACTCCCGTGGAGATGTTGTTTGATATATTTGTGTCAGTCGTATACACGCCATATATTGTAAATTCATATGTATTGATCAAAGTATGTGACACGTGTAAAATATCCCAGAAGAGAGTAAAATATTGTTATTTTGTTGTATGAGACGAATACATATTAGTGCACATATGTGTATTGGGTTCATGACGTTTAGTGTAATATAGAATTGTTTAATTGTGTCGTATAGAGTATGATGCTTTTACGTGTAATCACTCAATTCAAGGCGTCTGTTAAATTTAAATGTTCATTTTGCCGTGGAAAAAGGGTACGATAGATCATACATACGTACATGCGCAATCGGCATCGTAGTCTAAAATGCCTTCCACGTTACGCTCCACTACAGTGTCATGATTAGTGTGTAATATGGTGTTTTTTGCGTTTGAAAGATCTCGGCATGAGGTAAATATTCTAACACTTACAAAATAACTGACAGATGGCCAAGACGACTGTGATAACGTCTTTTCGTACCATGTGGCACTGCAGAAAAAAAGACACCACAAAATTAAAGTAGCGTACGTAGTGACACGCAGGGAATATCTACATCGATAATTAATACAAACTTAATGCCACATTACCCGTGACTGTATTTATTATTTAATTAGTCAGTAATATGTCATTCCGTTTAAATAAGACATGCAATTATTGGTGCGGAAATTACAGTTGTAACTGTAAATGATATTTACAACTGTGACTAGACAGGAAACATTACTGCATTAGCGCTGAATAAATTAAAATAACAAGACAAGACCTACTTGCAAGGTATTCTACACTGGCACTGTAATTTATTTCTGTGGTGAAGGAAGTATATTAACTGCCGACATAGTTCTGTGCAAACAAAACAATGGATCTATGTTTGTTAAATGAAACTGGAAACGGCAAACACAGTCCTTTGACTTTTTATGATAAAACTAGCGTGACTACATGCTACGATGACTGTCCACGCCATTATTATTTTATTTAAACGATGTGTACAGAAGAACTGACGTCATACTCAATTCATATTCAAAGTCGTAATTCGCAACGGAAATCAACATGTCAAGGACACAGCGTAGAAACAAACGATTGCCATATCACAATACCAGATCTAACGAGAGAGTGGTAGACCTAACGGCATCACCAAAGGTTTATGATATCTGTTTCAAAAAATGTAATGTAAGCAGATGTAGCTCCACTGGTGTAACATTATCCGATTCACGTGTGCGTGTACACACACACCTCGGTTAATAAAATCTACTGGTAGTAAGGTCATGTTACCTTGCTCTCTATCGAGCACCATACAGCGCGGACCGTCGTCATTAAACGTATCAACACACCCGCATCTACTCAACATGTTCCGAAGAACGCAATTGTGTTCACATGACTGAAACAAAATAGACATGAGCATGATTCTTGCGATAACAAACGAGGGCAATTATGGTTGCATATCATATAGACTAGTGATGGATACAGACTAGATACGAACTCTTGATGGATTAGACCTCCTAGAGACCAAAGGTTCGATGTTCATAATTGAAATGTCCTTCCCTAATTACAGAGGCATCATGTATTGTATATAACGTTCATTACTTACACCTCCAGGGAATTACACGAGTTACATCACAAATTCGTCTTACAAGAAATATTTACGCGAAGAAACATCGTTTAAAGTAAGCCACTCGTGCATCCCAAAATAATATCATAATTGTTGTAAGGTTTACAAGCCCTAATCATTCGAGTGTGGTGTTGTGGCGATTTGGCTTACCGATTTCGTGTATTTCCATTCGAGACTGGGGTCAAAATCCCCCGATTCTTCATCTGAGCAATTGTCCCATTTCGGTGGCAGTCTTTCAATTAGTCCCTACAATAGATAGAACATGTAATTGATGAATTATCGAGATGTTTGAACATCTGAGATGTATGTATATATGCGATGAGCTTTATTTATTGAACGCATATCGAATGCTTATCAATACATTAACCTCACAACTGACGACCCAGTCAAAAGATTGGACATTGTTTGGCGAATGCCGAAACGAATACGACCTATAACCTAATATGCATTATCCTGATAGAAAATTTAAATGAACACACGGAAACAAAAATAGGCTGCGATTTTAGACAAATTTGATCAAATCATAAAATAACACAACCTACGATAATGTAATAGGAAGTATTTGCATTCAAACTCTATCAACAAAATCAATATGAGTGACTATTTGACATAAACATGAAAAAACAAATGGCCGCCGGTTTGCCATTTTTTATTGAATCTCAATATATATATATAGCTTTGATATGTTTAGTCAAAGCTTTCTTAGAAATGGTTCCAGACAGACAGACAGACAGACAGACAGACAGACAGACAGACAGACAGACAGACAGACAGACAGACAGACAGGCGGACGAAACTCAAATTATTAACAGGTTGACAGAACGAAATTACCCTTGAACATAAAACTAACTACGAGTGTGTCCTAAATGTTATTTTACTTTAATAATCAAGCAAGTCGAATAAAATGTCTATGATATCTAAAAGTTATTTAATGGTAATTTATGTATTTACGATAGATTTTAAATAATAAATAATAACGTTTGGTAACCATTTAGTTGTACCTCTTTGATTGACACTGATGTAACAGATCCTGGCCTGACTGTGATTCCGTCATCCTCTGGAAATGGTTGTGTATCTGGCCGATGTATGGAGACCCGTACACCCGAATCCTGTCCAAATAGACTGATATACTCACTCTGCTCAGTGAACAGCGTTAATTTCAGACCTTCATTGTAAGACATGTATAAATTTCAGTCGAATTAAGATGCAAGTAGTAATTATTAATGTATATAAATATAATATAAATACTGTAATCTATAGTGTCAAAACCTGATAACACACCAGTCGATTCTATCTTATCGACAAATACCCTAATACGAATTGAATCAACATAAAAAATAACGAGTGAAACATCTTACCATTATTTGCACCTGCTCGCTTTGAATCTCTGGTTTGACTTTCGTTAAAAGCACGATTAAAAGTATAACAATTACCATACACCTTGTTTGCGAATTTATAGAAGTCACTGAAAAGTTTAAACACACACGGTATTTAACATTCTTGTTTCTGTAAGTCATTGTAATTTTAGTTCTCGTCTGGATGCATCGGAATTACATTTTTAGCAAAGTAGTACACATCGCATTATATACAATAAATCACACACACACATATATATATATACATACGTGGACAGAGAAATTAAGACACGACTACATGAGTAAAGTTCACTCTACAGTACTGTTTTGTAAGGTACATGGAGTACCTCACTCATCAGGAGTTAGGGTT